CTGTAAGCATCGCATTTCCTGATTTCTAGGTATATTACAAAATAACAGGAATCAACATAATATGGTACTGGGTTAAAGACATGAACAGAGACCACTGGAACAGAACCATGAGCCCAAAATAAACTCATGAATATATGGTCAAGTAACATTTGACAAAGGTACCAAGAACACACAAGAAAGGAGAGTCTCTTCAAAAATGGCTTTGAGACTATCTTGGTGGCTCAGGCATGTAATTCCAGCTATTCAGGAGGCAGAGATAGGATCACAGTTCAGAGCCAACCAGGGCAAGTTAGTGAGACCCTTTCTCAAAAACAAACCAGGCCAGGTGTGGTGACTCACAGCTGTAATCCCAGTTCCTTAGGAAACCAAGATTGAGAAAATGATTAGTTCAAGGCCTTCCAAGAAAAAATGTTACTAAGACCCCATCTGAAAAATAACCTAAAAGCAACAAGGGCTGGAGGCATGGCTCAAGTGTAGAGCACTTGCCTTGTGAACACAAGGCCCTAAGTTCAAACCTCAGTACAATCCAAAAAAGTTTTAAAATCAGAACTGATGAAGCACATCTATAATCTCAGCTACTGGAAAGATGAAGGTAGGAGGATGGTAGACCGGGGCCAGCCTAGCAAAAGTGGGAGACCCCATCTAAAAAACAAAGGAAAAGTGAAAAGGACTAGGGGTGTGGCTCAAGTGGTAGAGAGCTTACTTCGCAAACACAAGGCCATGAATTCAACACCCAGTACGGCAAAAGTACAAGCAACAAGAGCAAAAATAAGTAAGTAGGACTACATCAAACTAACAAGATTCTGCACAGCAAACAGTAGAACAAAAATCAACCTACAGGATGGGGAAAATGTAAACCATTCATTCAGTAAGGGATTAGTATACAAAATACACCAGGAATTCATACAGCTCCACTGAGCTGCATAAGCTTTAGTGAGCTATTGAGGGAAAGGAGGGAAAACACCCAACAAAAAAATAAGCAAACAACCCAAACAGACATTTCTACAAGAAAAGTCATACAAACAGCCCTCAAGTACATGAAAAGGTTTCAACATCACTAAATCATCAGCAAAATACAAATTAAAACCACAGTGAGATACCACCTCACACCTGTTAGGATGCCTGGTATCAAAAAGACAAGAGATAACAAAGATTGCAAGGTTTTAGATAAAAGGGAAACCATGCATACTGTTGGTGGGAATAGAAACTGATATACCCCTTATGGAAGACACTATGGAAGTTTCTCAAAAAAATAAAAAGTAGGACTATCATACAATTAGCAATCCCCTTTCTAGATATAGATCAAAAAGAAATCAAATCAACAGCTTGAAGAGCTAGCTGCACTCCCATGCTTAGTGTGGCATGGGAACAACCTACATGCCCATTAGTGGATGGATGTGATATCTCTCTCTCTATCTCTCTCTCTCTCTCTCTCTCTCTATCTCTCTCTCTCTCCCCCTCCATCCCCTCCTCCTTCGCTCCCCTCTCCCCAGGGGTTGCCAGGGGACGTGGTGGGGAGGGATGGAGAGATGTTGATTTAACTTTGAGTACATATTTTCAGCTATTTGATGAACATGTTTCTAGAATCTAATGTTCATATTGTGATAACAGTTAAAATATGTCATTGTATACTTAAATTTGCCAAGTGAATGGATCTTTAATGTTCTCACCACAAAAAGAAATAATCATAACTAGGTAAGGTGATACACGTTAACTAACCTGACTGTAATAATCAACTCATTATATATACATAAATCATCACATTGCACACCTTAAATCTTTATGATTTTGTCAATTATGCCTCAATAAAGCTAGAGGAAGAAAACACATTTTGAAAAAAAATCCCAAGTCAATAGTCTCCCTTCCAAAGTAAGAAACTACAGAGGGAAAAGCACACTGAAGTAAAGCAAACAGAAAGACGAAATAACAAAGACTAGAATGGGAAGAGATGAAATAGAAACACCATTCACCATGAAAATTAGTGATGTATGAGACATGCTACAACACTGATAACTCTCGAAAACAGTGAGGAAGCTAGGCACGAAAGACAACATGACGTACGATTCCATCTGCATGAGATTTACAGAGTAGAGAAATCCACCCAGACAGAAGGTAGGTTAGTGGATTCCAGGGGGACAAGGAGAAGTAGAATGGAGTATGATTGCCTAAAGGGTACAGGATTTAGTTTTGTTTTAGATCCATGAAAATGTTCTAGAATTAGGTAGTTCTGACTGTTTATGTGGTATGACTATGCTAAAACTGTTCACATGGCGAATTTTACTTTACATCAATTTTATCTCAACTAGTAAAAGAGAAAAGCACGGAAAATACTGAAGTTAGTATTTAGTTCAGAATCTCTTTACCATACCATATATAAAAATTAACTCAGGACGGATAAAGACCTAAACAAATGCAAGTCAAAAGCATAATAAGCTGGGCCTGGTGACACAGCAAATTTCAAGTACAAAAAAGTGTTATTAACATCTCTCTTAATTCTTTTTATGTCTGTACAATATTTCCTTCTATGGGTAATGTACTATTCACTTGACCTTTGTTATCTTGATGATGTATCTCCTCTCCAACTTTGTACTATTGCGAACAATGAAAAGTGCATATTGCGTATTTCTCTAGTCCTAGAAGAACTCCTTGAGCAGAGGATATGCTTATTTAAAAGTTTGCTAGGTTCTGTCAGAATTCTCTCTGAAAAAATTTTGCCAATTTAGAAACAACCAGGATCTAGGATCTTCTATTTTTCCATAGCCACATGAGTAAGGATCTTATATTTTTAAGAGTTTTGCTGTATCTTGAGAGTTTTTTTTAATGGTGCATCATTTTAATTTGCATTTTGCTGGTCACTATGTGAGGTTTGGGTGAGGGGAGGCCACTGAAGCTTTTTGAGTAAGTGGTGACAGGAGGAACAGAGCACACCTTCTGGGAGACAGAGGGAGGTAGCCAGAAAACACATTTCAAAGGGTGATTCATTCACTTAGCACACTGGGAAGGGTGCACACACGTCAGACCCTGTACCAGGACCTGAGCCCAAAGAGATGAATGGCCCAAAGCCCTCCCTTGGGCACTTCCTCACCACCAAAAAAAGTGGCCAACACAATGAACACATGACTAGGAAGGACAGAACTGAAACCCATTTGTGAGGTTCTGGGAGCCCAGAGGAAGAGGCTCTGATCCCATGCATGACCAGTGACAAGTCCTTCGGGGTGATTCAGCCGAATGAGTTCCAAGGAAGATGCAGGAATGAGCTGGGCAAAGCCACTACAAGGGACTTCCCAGACAGAGGCCGCTTTGTCAGCAGCTGGGTTCTGGAGCTATAGATCGGTGATGAGAGGAGGAGATGGCAAGGGGAGGATGGTTGTGAGGGGAAGGAAGAGGCCAGATCACGAGGAAGGGGAGGAGCACCTGAGGTATAGTGATGCCTTTCACTGGCACTGACTTCGGGGAAGGGCAGAAGTCAAAACGTGCACCTCAGAAAACACTGACACACAGAATTCCAAGTAAGAGTCTCTCACCTTTATTATCATTTATTCATTTCTTATTTATGAAAGAAATGAAATGTAAAATATTTTCTTATTCACACCTCATTTAGTAAGAGGAAAATCTTAAGCAAACCCAAATATAGAACTAAAGCCTTTGCAAGAACCATTCTCAAAGTTCTTTGTACATTAATCCACATGATTTCTATCTGCCATATGAGTGTGACAAAAGAAACAACCCATTTCTCTGAATTTTATACGTTTGGCCCTAGATGGAAGAACACAAGTACTCAAGGTTCCTGACTAGAGCCTTGAGTGCCTCTGACTGTGACAAAACACTCTTCAGAAGACCCCGGCATTGAACTGCTCCCCGGGAAGTGATCCTGGGGATGGCATGCCATGGCAGCTTCTCCTTTGGGTCAGAATTCTGAGGCGTGCCTCACCCCAACAGGGTAGGCAGAGAGAGAGAGATTCTGAACAACTCAATCCTGACAGGTGTATTTCTCCAGCACCCTGGGAATGAGCCAGAGGGGCTCATTAACCAAACTTTTTTTTTTTCTTGTCTGGAGTCTCTACTTGTTAACAGTGTCTGACAGATGATCAATATGCCAGCCTATTTAGAAATGCCAGTCTGAATATTCCCATGAAAGACCTACTGGATTATTAGTGTGGCTAATGAATCCTGCAATGGGACATTTAATCACCATGTACTGGGCTTCTGCACAAGAGACTGGCTGTTGTCCCTCATCATGTAAAAATAGTTTGGTGGGGGATTTTTCTAAGTCTTGTTTGCAGCTGTTCCTCCCATACTATGTATTTTCTTTGTTGTCTGTGGGGACCTAATTATAGTGCCTGGATGGCTTCTCAAATCCACGCACCTGCTGTATTTGATGCCATTCTGCAACTGCAGACGAGATGTATCTCACTTTGCACACTGACTATGAACCTTAGGATTCCACATGAGACAAAGCTTCCCACTTGGAACCCTTGCTCCAGGTTTATACTATTGGTTTGGAAATGCTATTTCTAAGATTACATATACTAACTTATTGATCATGTGCAAAACAGCCTCCCTTTAGCATCTTCTGCATCATGCTGGGTGCTGTAGATATCTCTGACTTTAGCTGCATACTTGTTTTCATTTTTCAGATAAGCAAAGTGAGGCTTGGAGAAGGAACATCATCTGCTTCAAGTAAATCAGCTATTGGGGCTAGAGATGGGTGCAACCCACTCTTGTCTAATGACAGGGTCATGTTTTTACACTATAGATACTGCTGCCTCCTTTCACTCATTCACCTACCAACCAGGTACTGGAGGAGTGCCGACAGCAGCTAGGGACAGGAGATTCAGACAGAATCTTCCTTGAGAAGATCTACAATTGGACAAGTATGTGACTTCTGAGTGGATTTTTCTAGGCTTCTACTGTGCCCATGAATTAGAGAGAGCTGGCATGACAGTATTAAAGAGTATCTCAGCATCACCGGTCCCACCCAGCATGCCAGCTTCCCTTACCATCTCCAGTCTTGCTTGGGTTGGGGGGTTCAGGAGTAGTCAGAGGCCTAAGGGGAATGATGATGTCATCAACATTAAGTCCTTCTTCTCTGTGCTTCTCAGAAACATGGGACAGGAGTTCCAACTGATTTGGTGAGAAAAGATTGCAGCACTTACACATGAAGATGGCTGTGTTTTCTGTTAAAAAAAAAAGGAAAATATTTTAATTCACCTTCACATAAACAAATGATTACTCCCAAGTATGATGGAAAACACTGAGAGCTGTCCTTCTGCACAATTGCCAGCCTCTGGTGGACACCTCAGGTAGTACCAAGTTCCAGGATATTCTTTCTTCAGTATTTCAAGGTTGTCTCCTAGAGAGTACCTGACATGGACCTCCCTCTGACCCAAATCCACTCAACAGCCCAGATCTCAGCAGAGCACAGCCAAGTAAAACATGAACATAGAACTTGAAAAATCAAACCCTACCCTCAAATGAGTGAACGGCACTGATGGTGATGAAGTGTTCCAGCCAGACTCTCAAGTCAGGTGCAAGGAAAGACCTACAAAAACAGTGGTTCTGAAGGTCCAAGACCACTTTCAATGACTGGACAGGAACTAAAAGTGAAACAAGGATACGGATCTGTTCAGTGGTTTTTTTAAGCCACTCAATTCCTATTTAAAGTATCATCTGTGTTCACAAAAATGTACTAATGTTCCATTATGTCTCTCCCGTTACACTAGGCAGGAAGACATCATCAGAGGAAAAGACTCATTTCTCAGTCAGACCAAGATCTAAAATCAGATTTTTGTTGTTATTTTTACTTTTATTCTGAAAAGAATCATTGGTGTGATAGAAAGGACAATGGCTTTGAAGCCAGACAGACCCAGGTTAAATTCCCAACTCCTACTCCTAGAAGTTATAAAGCTGGGTGACCTTGGAGAGGCCAGAGTACTCTCTCAGTCACTGGAAGTAAGCAGAAGTATGAGTTATAAGCCTTCTCAGGAGTGGGTACGCAGCTGACACCCAGAAACCATCCCACCGGTCCAAGCCCATCTCTCCTGCACTGTGCCCTTACCTACACATTCTCCCTGTCCTCCCTCCACTTTCTCCAGTGGCCTCATGGGGACCCTTAACCTTAACCTGCCTAGCAATCCCACAGGATTTCTACAACATTCTCTGTCCAGGCTAGACAAATGCCTGGCAGACCACAAGTTCGCCAGGCCCTTGGGCTCTGTCCACAGCAAGCGAACCTCCAGTGCTTCCTCCCTCTCCTCACTGAGCAGCTGACCTTGCTTCCCATTTCATGTGAGACAGTCAGAAGACAGCTGCCCCCAACACACTTGCAGCCCACCTGCTTCTTCACCCAGCCTTGGCCAGAGAACTATGAGTGTTGGGGTGGGTACCAGCAGTGACACCCACAGCACAGTTGTAGTGCCAGTGGTCACCCAGAGTAGGCATTCCTTCATCTCAAATAGTGTGCACAATTGCTGGCTCAGGGAGAGGATAAAAAGCAGACCATCCTCTAACTGGTGTGATTATTGCCTCTAAGTTCCCAGCACATCAGGCCACTGGACAAAGGGCATGCAACAGCTGGTGTGTGCAGAACCCAACCCCTCTTCACCACTGGGTGACACTGCTCCCAGAAGTTCACCAATCTCTCCCTCTCGACTGGAGTTTCCCACTGACCTGCAAACATGCCTCCATCACTCCCATCCTGAAACAAAAGCCTCTTTTGAGTCCCATTCCCCTGTCCCCACCCCATCTTTCTCCTTTTCTTTATAGCAAAATCCTTCTGCCAGAAAGAAAAGACAAGAACTAAAGGAAAGAAGCACCTGGCTTTGCCAGGTGAAGAAAGAACCCCTGGAAGGCACAGGGTTCCTGGGAGCAAGGCCCTCTCTAGACACAGAGGGTTTTGCCAGGAACCAGCAGGGGAGGTAATGACCTCAGAGATTTCTTACCCCAATACATAGAACAGAAATTTAACAAAACAGAGTATTGCTTTGTCGATAAAACTCTCTTGAATACTGTCAATCAATATTTATTTTTTCCAAAAAATGTTTTATTCCTAAGGAACCTAAAATGCTTCCAAAACAAGTTGTTAAAAGGATATGTTCTTCTTCATAAGAAGCCATACCTGCCAGGCACCAGTGGCTCACACCTGTAATCCTAGCTACTCAGGAGGCAAAGATTAGGAGGATTATGGTTCGAAGCCAACCTGGGTAAATAGTTTGCAAGACCCTATCTCAAAAAACCCTTATAAAAAAGGGCTGGTGGAGTGCTCAAGATGTAGGCCCTGAGTTCAGGCACCAGTACAGAAAAGAAAGAAGCCAGGCCATTTTCAACCTGCTTTCTGCTGACTCTGCATCAATCCTATGGTTTAGGTGGAAAGTTGTTCACAATCTCTAGCCCATAGGTGAGAAACTGAGGCTGGATATGGAAAACCAACTGGTCCCAGTCCCAGAAGGCAGAATGTAGAGGTTAGATGTCCTGTTACCTGGATTTGACAGATGTGATTAGCTACAGAATATGAGCTGAGTTCCTCCAAGTGAAGCTAAAATGCTTAGGATATGTAGGACTATACCCAGAATGTGAGAAGTAAACTCCTACAGAGAAGAGCACAATGCTTAACTCACATAACAATCTCATGCCTACTCATAAGCACACCCAGGCCCTGGAGATGTAGGGGTGAAATCGTGACCCAGGCCTTGTAAAGAGGAGGCCAAAATTTTACCTGGAAACAGACATGTCACAGAACAGCTGCATCTTATGATCTGTACTGAACTAACTTCCCACTGGCTTCTAAGTATCCTTGGTTCCTTGGATGGTCTCAGGAGAAAGGAGGATCTTGTGACATTTAACAGGAGAGAACATCTGGGGTCAACAGTTACTGTGTGGGGTCTCCTAGTTCAAAGGCGCACTAAGTATCTTCTAGTGATTAAGTAAATAAACGTACTTTTTGCATCTGAATGTGACAGTGTCAGAGGCTGCTGTGAATGAATTAGCACCCAGATGCTTCTCAGCCTGAAGCCTGGGCAGCCTAGGGTAGCATCTGGCCTTGGCCATCTGCTACAAATAAGCCTGAGTTTCCCCATATATCCAGCTCTGTTAGGCAGGGGACTGACCCTGGAGGTACCAGATGAAGGCAGAGACAAGCACTCTGACCCAGGACAACCTGTGTAACTGTAGGCTCACCCATACAGTGCAGCCATGAGATGGAGTGCAGCAGAGCAAACTTTTAACTGGGAAAGGTCAAGACAAGCAGAAGAGGCTTCTTAACCTGGGAGAGCTGGAAGTCAGAGCCACAGAAGGGCAGAAAACATGAAGACACAGGAGCAAACAGACACACAGGAAAGCCAAGACAGAAATGAGGTGGATGAGATGACCTGCAGCCAGCGCAGGGCTGTGCCTACAGAGAAAGAGCTTGTGGAGCCAGGCACAGTCATCAAAAGGCAAACCAGTATTCCTAGAACAACCAGAAGTTTGGGAGCAAAGTAAACGCCAAATCAGCATGGTTAAAAGGTCCAGCAGGGATGGCCTCATGCTCAGGGATAGCTCCAAGGCCTCCACAGCTAATGAATGCATCAGCTGTCTGCAAGTCTGCCTCCTGGATCCTGCATGGCCCCACCATACCACTCCCTCACACCTCCTAGAATGTGATGGTCTTGGCCACCTCAGTGCAGCTAAAAACCAAGTGGCTGGGCTGCATGAGGAGACTGAGGTCAGAGATGCACTGGCACACTGTGGGGAGGCTGCCATCAAAGAAGCCTGTCCAATGCTGAGAATGGACATTAAGGCCCAAGATGCAGGGTTGCACAGAAGAGCTAGGCTAGGTAGGATATTTTCACTGACCAGACATGGGCAACACAGAGGGGCAGCATGAGAGCAGGGGCCTCTGTTTTGCTACTAACAGTGCAATCTTGTCTTTAAAACTGCCTGTCCCAGAAATCCAGGACAAGAAGCATGGTACACCCTCTTAAACACAAGGCCTCCAATGTGGCAGGTGACTGTGAGTTCCTTGGAGATGCTCTTAAAACAGTATACAGGGAGTAAGATGACAAAAGTACACATGGAGAGTGTGGGATCATGCTGCATTCTCAAAATGTTAAAAAATATTAACTCACTAAAATGACAACAGTGACAATAGTTAATTAAACTATTAACTCACTAAAATGCCCTTTCATTTCTACAGTGGACTGCTATGAAAAAGTGTACCTGGTTCCTGAAACATAATCATCATTATGTTGTCAGCTAGTTCTGATGAAGGTACGATATTTTGGATGCATCTTTAGGTCCAATTACTGTGCTCTCTTCCTTACAAAAGAATTCAAAAGGAAAATGGCATATTTAGCACAGGAGAATCACTGAAGTTTGGGGTTTGTGCATGCAATTCCTATGAATTATCAGTCAGTTTGAAACAGCCACTCTGCACTACTAACAAGGAAGACCTCAAGATAACTGTATAAACAAGTCTTCTTTTCTAACCTCTGACCTGCAGAACAGCCAGGTTTTATCTAGACTTCTAGCCTCCCTGCTTGCCCTAGGAACCCCAGGGTGAATAAGGGTTTAGCCCCCAACCCATCCCCAAAGGTGGCAGTGAACTGGAATATGAGTCTAGGGTCCCAGGAAGGTGACTGGGCCCCTTAGGCTTGGGGAAGGCCCCTGGGAGTTGCCAGGACATGGTCATGGTGACAAGTGGTCAGCTGGAGCTGGCCTGCTCTGAAAGATCCCTCCCCAAATCCAAAACCCTCAGGTAAAAAGGTAAAGAGGATCAGTCCAACCATGGGCTGAAATCACAGGCTTCAGCCAATGTGAAGAATGTTCTGGCACCCAACATGCCAGAACAGCATCTTCTTCTTCTTGCTATTGGTCTTGCATGTCATCTGTTGTGCATCTCAAGGGTGGGGTGAATGGAACAAGACAGGTATCTGGGGGGTCTCTCAGTCCTACACCAGCTTTTATTACTGGCACTATTGCTTATTACAAACATCACAGCACACGCTCAGTGTAAAACAGTCCCAAACAGTATACCAGCGTAGGGACAGCTGCTCACCACCACCTCCGGAATGAGAGCACCACTGAGTGCTGGGGTGTGCATCCTTCCAGACCTCTTGCTGTGCATCAGAGACAGATACAGAGACAGAGAAAAGGGGTTATTCCCCTAATATCACTGAAACCTCATGCAGAGCCCTCCCTA